CTGGCCCGGTACTCCCTCCCTTACCCCGGCCGACTGCTGCCGCCACCATAAAGGGCCTCCCTCCATTCCCCTGGTGGCCGCTGCTGGCTGGGGCCTCCCTTCCTTCCTCCAACTGGCCCTGTTCCCTGGTCAAACTCCTGGAGAAACTCCCAGTCGAGGGAACAATTTGCATACTACACTTTTATTATATAGGATTAATGACTATGCCATACTTTACACCAGCCGTCCTCAAACTACGGCCTGCGGGCCACATGCGACCCGCCGTAAACATTTATCCGGCCCGCCGGGTGTTTTTGCCGCCACAGTGTGCATAGGAATTTGTTCATAGTTTTTTTTTAGCTATAGTCCGGCCCTCCAACGGTCTGAGGGACAGTGAACTGGCCCCCTGTTTAAAAAGTTTGAGGACCCCTGCTTTACACCCTGTGACTGTTGTTATAACCGGCACCTTGCACGTGGAGCCTCCAAGTACAAATTGTAAGTGAGCCAAGAGTTTCTAAAGCCGAAACCGGTTTGGCTCAGTGGATAGAGCGTCGGCCTGCGGACTGAAAGGTCCCGGGTTCGATTCCGGTTAAGGGCATGTACCTGGATTGCGGGCACTTCCCCAGTGGGGGATGTGCAGGAGGCAGCTGGTCGATGTTTCTCTCTCATCGATGTTTCTAACTCTCTATCTCTCTCCCTTCCTCTCTGTAAAAAATCAATAAAATATATTTTAAAAAAAAAGAGCTTCTAAAGGTTACCAGAGTGGAATGTTATACATATGAGTTAGGTTCACACGGGACTCGACAGCTCTGAATTCTATGTCAGTCATGGCTGTTTTTAAATAACAGATACCTTGTTTTGCTTCCTTCATGGCACAATATGTTTTTAATGTGATGGTTTTTATTGAGGTGTACTTTACATGCAATGTGTACAGATCTTTAAGGGTTCGGTATGATGGACATTTCTATCACCCAAATAGTTCTTTGTGCCCCTCCCAGTAACATAACTTTTTAAACATGAGTTTTCAGTAGCACTAGAATTGAAAAGAATGGCACAATATTTTTAAAAACTGTTATGCCACTCTAACTGTAAAGGATAAATAAAAAGAGAATCTATCTATCTATATCTATATAAATATCTATATTTATATCTATATCTATATATACATAGAGAGAAGAAATATGCAAATTAGGCCTGGATGCCATAACGGGTCACAACCCAACTGGAGGAGGCTGCTCATGCAGGTGAAGCCAGGGGAGACAGGTGGGGGGCCAGCCCGCAGCCTCTGCAGCCAAGCGCAGTCCCGGAGAGGAGATGGCAGGCCCACCTCCTGCAGTGTGGCTCCCTCCCGCCTCCTGCGGAATCCGCCTCCCATGGCATCAGCATGGTTTCTTCCTGCCTCCCGCACAATCAGCACGGGTCCCTCACAGCTCCTGTGGGCGCCGGCAGCTCGCTTCTGCCTCCCGTGGAAGCAGCATGGCTCTTGGCAGCGTGCTGCAGTTTTTACCGGCTCCCGTGGTAGCGGCGGGCGGCCTACTATGCACGATATTATGCAATGGGCTACTAGTCTATAATAATAAAAGGGTAATATGCTAATTAGACCAGACATCATTCCAGATGCCCTTCCTGACAAAGCCAGGGCCAGAGGCCATCCCGGGTCCCAGGTGCCTACGGGCAGCAGGAGGAGGGAAGGCTTTCTCTTGCATGAGTTTTCATGCATCGGGCCTCTAGTATTTTAATAAAATATATGTACCCTGGCTGGTTTGGCTCAGTGGCTAGAGCATCGGCCTGCGGACTGAAGGGTCCCAGGTTCGATTCTGGCCAAATGCCCGTAATGCTCTTGTCTGGCTTGGCTCAGTGGATAGACGGTCAGCCTGCAAATGAAGGGTCCTGGATTCCATTTCAGTCTGGGGCACATGCCAGTGTTGCAGGCTTGATCTCCAGTAGGGGGCATGCAGGGGGTGGCCGATCAATGATTTTCTCATCATGTTTCTCTCTCCCTCTCCCTTCCTCTCTGAAATCAATAAAGATACTGGTATATTAAAAATAAATGAATAAATAAAATATATGTATTTGGTTCCACCTATATGGGGAAAGTCTTAGAAAATAGAATGGTAGTGCCAGGGGCTCGGGGAAGTGGGGCAAGAATTGGATATAGGCTTTCTGTTAGTGAGATACCAAATACTATCGACCTTATGCATAGCAGTGTGCATATAGTTAACTCTATTGTGCTGTACAATAGAGTGTGGTTAAAATCCTAAATTATTTGTTTGTTTGTTTTTTTTAATACTGTCTCATGGTCCCTCGAGGTAAGTACAATTTTATTCCCAGTCCCCAGTTTGCATTTGAAGAAACTCTGTTATTTTTAATACAATCTCTCTATATAAAACCCTAAGCAACCAGTTGACTGTTTGACTGGTCACTATGACGCACACTGACCACCAGGGGGCAGATGCTCAACTCAGGAGCTGCCCCCTGGTGGTCCTTGTGCTCCCACTGGGAGTGCCGCTTAGCTGACCGCAGGGTGCCAGATGCCAGGATCATGTATTTGAGTTAACTTTTGTATATGGTATAAGATAGAGGTCCAACTTTAGTGGAGATCAGCAGTCTCAGCACCAATTACTTTGCTGAATTTATTACTAAGTGTTTTATTCTATTTGTTGCCATTTTAATTGAATTGTTTCCCTAATTTTATTTTCATATTGTTCATTGCAACTGTATCGAAATACAATTGATTTTTTTGTGTATTGGTCTTATATTTTGCAACCTTGCTGAACTCATTTTTAGTTCTAATAGTATTTCTTTAGTGTGTTCTTTAAGATTTTCTGTATTCAAAATCTTGTCGTCTGTGATATAGTTTTTACCTCTTTTGCAATCTAGATGCCTTAAAAATTTTTTTTGCCTTAATGTCCTGTTAGAACCTCTAATACAATCCTATATAATAAAAGGCTAATATGCAAATTGACCAAAAGGTGGAATGACTGGTTGCTATGATGCACACTGACCACCAGGAGGCAGACGCTCAATGCAGGAGCTGCCCCCTGGTGGTCAGTGCACTCCCACAGGGGGAACGCCGCTCAGCCAGAGCTGGCAAATGCAGCAGCGGTGGCGGGAGCCTCTCCTGCCCCCGCGGCATCACTAAGGATATCCGACTGATGGCTTAGGCCCATATGGGGAGCGGACCTATGCCATCAGTCGGAAATCCCCCAAGGGTTCCTGGACTGCGAGAGAGCGCAGGCCAGGCTGAGGGATCCCCGCCACCCTGAGTACATGAATTTCGTGCACCAGCCTCTAGTGTTTAATGAATGACAATAATAGTTATCCTTATCTTGTTCAGGAACCTTAGGGAGGAAAGCAGTGTCTTTCATTGTTAAGTGTAATGCTAGCTGTAGGGTTTTCATGGATGCCTTTCATTAAGTTGTGGAAGGTGCCTTCTATTCCTGGTTTTAAAACTTTAGGATTTCAATCTTTTTTAAAAAATATATTTTATTGATTTTTTTTTTGAGACACAGAGAGAGAGAGATAGAAACATCAACAATGAGAGAGAAACATCATCAATCAGCTGCCTCTTGCATGCCCCCCACAGGGGATCGAGCCCACAACCCAGGCATGTGCCCTGACTGGGAATCGAACCCGTGGCCTCAGTTCCTGGCTCGATTCTCCACCGCTGAGCTACACCAGCTGGGCCTATTCCTGGTTTTAAAAAAACAACTTTTTTTTATCATGGAAGGTTGTCATATTTTGTCATGTGTCTTATCTGTTTCTATTGAGATGATGATGTGGTTTTGTCCTTTGTTTTATTGATATGGTGTATTACATTAATTGATTTTTGGATGTTAAAGCAACCCTGCATTCCTGGGGTAAATCACCCTTGGTCAGGTGTCTATTTTTTTTTTTTAGGTTAAACCTGCTTTATTTCCCCCCATCATCCTTATCTAATAAAAGAGAAACATGGTAATTGGCGTACGACCACTATCCTTCCCATTGGCTAATCAGGGGCGATATGCAAATTAACTGTCAGCCAAGATGGCGGCTGGCAGCCAGGAAGCTTAAACTGAACATGAGGCTTGCTTGCTTCAGTGACGGAGGACTGCAACGTTCCCCGCCTGCCTTGCCGGCCTCTCAGCCTGCAGTTTAAGAAACATAGTAACAAATAGAAGCTAAAAAAAAAACCACAGAAACCAGATTTCAGGGAACTG